AGGGATTGAAATAAACATTGGCAAAAACATACTGGTCTGGAGTTGCCTTTGCTTTCTCCACATTTTAGAAACTGTACCTCCTTTTTGTCTGCACTTGCACAACCGTTCTTATATCTAATGCAGCAGTTTGCGATGCACAGAGAAGAGTCATTGAAGTGAGCGCAGTCAAGTGTCTGAAGAGTAACAAGGTTAGACTGGCTGCAGGTAACCTATGAAGGCAAGACGTTAAACAGAAAGCGGAGAAGAGGAGACGTCCTATGCCATCACATAGAGAAGGAAGGCCCGAGGGGACTTGATATATCACATTGGCAGCTCAAGACGAGAGATTTAGTGGTGTGTTGGGCTTCTGTGCCACATTATTATCAGCCAGTGATCCACAGGGCACACAGGTAGCTCTGGATCCCTTCAGAAGAGAGAAGTCTGTCCCCCTCCAGTCTGTCCCTTCATGCTGATACCACAATTCAGACAGACTGAGACTTAGCTGGTGTTATTGAAATGCTACAGGGGGAACATCCCGCTTCACTTACACTTGGGAATAAAACCTTAAGACAGACAGGCAGGCAGGCAGAGAGAGAGGTATTGGACTTAAAGAAACAGCAGATTATTTTGTGCCTCAGAAAGGCATGTTGGCAGTAGGAACTAAGCAACAGCTTCCTGTCAGGACAGGTTTCACAAGCCTGTCCTCGTCTTTAGCGTAAACTACACAAGGGGATTTTACCCATCTGCAGATAAGCATGCAAGCTAAGACAGCAAACTAGATGCTTGTCCCTATTTGCCTTTTATTTTAACTGTTGGTGGAATTTGTCAGCTTCTCCATCTAGACCAAGGAAGAAGTTATCAATCACCTTCTATTGTCCATGGAAATTTGTGTTCAAGAGATTAGAATCTAAAGGTGCCTGCCTTTCGTTGCCGATTTACATATTAAATGTGCCGATCACTTCGCGTGTCACATGTGTGCCAAGTGTACTTGATAGGGTTATTTTGGCAACGCATTCCATCAAATTGGCAGAGATGCTGGATGTTTCCACCACACAGTAAAGAAGAGTGACACGGAGTGAAGTAACACGTGGAGGCCAAGACCGAGGGGTGTGCACAGCATGCAGAGCTGACGGACAGGCCGCTGATGGATTAGGTGGTAAGCCTGGCAGAGGGTTGCCCTTGCTAGATGGATGTCTGCCCCGTGCGCCGGGGTGATTAAAATAAAAAAATAAAATAAAAAAACGGTTGGGGAGTTTGCTCTGACTCTCATAAAAACACCAAAGATAATTATGTGGCACTGGTAGGCCAAAGATAAATTGCTGGAAATAATTATTGCCATAAATGATAACATTGCTTTGTTGAGCTCATTTTGAAGGAATATACTGATATGGCATAATAATGTCAGAATGTCTTCTCAAACACCCATAAACTTTCATTTTTGTAAAGATCACTTGACACTGGAACTGGAAAATATTTTAAAAATTCAAAATAAGCCACAACAACCAAAACCAATAAATAAAATGGATTATGATTCCTCTGTAAACAAAATGTTCCTTTAAAAAAAAAAAATATCAAAATGGAAGTTATCCAGCTCATTTTGATTTATCATGCTACTAATTAAGACTAATACACTGGACTGTCCATTAAAATGGAAAAATAAAAAGCCATGAGGCTGCTTCATAGCTTATCAAGCTCACAGACAGGAAAAGAGCTCAACCATTTCCTCTACGCAAAACTAAAAAGTAGTGAAAGCATGAAAGCAATAGCTGCTGCATAATTAATGTTTTTAATTCTTGAGACTCCAGCATTGTCAACAGTTTTACAGAAAATCTATATTTTGTATTAAATTATTTAGGATTCTACCAGCAAAGTGTTTAAGACCAGCTATAGAATAGCAACAATCTGTGATGAGACGTTGGCACAAAGTAAGGCTGCGCCAATCAAAAATGTATTAAGGGCCAATCTAAGGTTTCTGGAAAGCTTTGCCATGCTGATTATAGCTGATTCTAATTTCTCTCCAAATACTTTGACGTAAAAGGATACAAGAGCAGCATTCAAAATATTCCTTTACAGTCATCCTGTTATGGGTGGTCAATTACTAATATTAGAAATTGAGAGAGCAAAATGCAAAAGAAAAGAAAGAAATTGAGAAAGCACTAAAGTATTGCCTAGATAAATCACTGTAAAACAGGATTTTCCTACAACAGTGCAGTGTAGTTTGTCCTCGTTATTTCAGAACAAGGACATGATATTTTAAACTGAGTGTAGTATCAGCATGGTTAGTGCACCAAGTTTTATTAGAAACATAGGTTTGCGTTGATATTATAGATAGCACAATATATCCTGTGAGAACTCTACTAAAATTCTACTAACTACTAAATTTCTAAATCCAGAATGCTCCATCAGGTTAAAATGGAAAAAGTTTCCAGCAAATGGTCCGAGACCGGGAATCGCACCCAGAACAACTGCGATGATGAGTGAATTTTACCAACAAACCACCAAGCACCCCAAAGTTTCCTTTTTAAAACTGACTGCTACATTCTTGGACATCCTGCAACTTCCTTTTTAGCACCCTGCTAATTTAAACAAAACAGGAAACTTTTGGTCTGATTCCCCCATTAACCGTAGCCACACCGAAGGCAATCGCAGCCTGGAAGAGCTCAGTGTGGCTCGGGGAAAAAAAAAAAAAATCTATTTTTTTCACCCAAAACAGCAGGTCATCACTATGAAACAAACTGAAAATTGTCCAATTTCGTGGTCATCTTCCAATTTCACTGTCCGTGTACAATGATGTTAACAGTTCTAAAGAAACTATTTCATCAGTTTTTTTTCAGCAAGACCTACATTTCTTCTTTCAGATTTTTTTTTATGTTGTTCTGTAGCCATCTGTTGGGATAACAGTGACTCAAAGAAACTGAACAAAACTGATCAAGACAGAGTCAAAACAACTACACATAGTCAGTGGCTTCTTCGGGTTCAGGAATGACTGGTACAAGCAATTGTCTCCATCCACTCAGCTGACCTTTCACTTTGCAGCAAGCATGTGCTAGACATTGGTTTGTCTGCAAGTTAAGAATATTTTGGAAAATAAAAAATAAAAAATGCGGTCAAAGGGCATTTATTAAATGACTTTTCAAAACTCAAACACAGAAATAGACAGAGGTGAGAAAAGTGCCACTTGATATGAGCCTGGCAATTGTCAAGCTGCAAACTGTTTCTCTTCTGCATTATCTGTTGATAGGCGGGTGAACAGACTTCAACACCAATATCAAATACTGCTGGCAGCTAGATCTATAACAAAGTCACTGCATAGCAATTCACTAGTCAATAACTATGAGTTGTCCATGTTTTTAGGTTCATCCACAACATTTTAGAAAGTAGATAAGCAAACAGAAAACCTTCAACGAATTTGTTTCATTTCACTTCTACAGGGCGAGCTAGTTGCTATGCAGCCAAAATAATATAGTAGACGGCCACAATTCAGAATGAGGAATTGGCCCGTGTATAAATCAAACTCAGCACAGACTCTACATTTGGTGCAAAGAAAAACAGAAACTGCAGGAAGGGTCATAAATCACAAGGTATAATATTGATCACTGCACATATATTCAGCCCCTGTCCTGAGAGGTCTGAGTTCAGCGACAGCATCAAATCACGGATGTGAAGGGTCGAAGGCTTCAAAACTGACTGAACCTGGTTCTGTGCTGAGCTATACGGTGAGCTCCTGAATAAAGAGACGCACCCAAAAACTCAAATCTACTGAGCAATTTTCACAGACAATAGGTAGTGGAAACCTACTGATAAATCCCAACTCAATGTATTTTTGAGTAGAACCATACATCTGGAGAAGCCATAAGAAGTCCTGTTTAAAGTTTGTCATGTAGTGAACATGGTGAGTGTGTGGGTGAAGGTACTACGGTCAAATGAGACCAAAATACATTTTTTTTACATATGCAAAAACACTGAATGGTGGAAGACAAACATGGCACAAACAATCCTCAGTGACACTTTGTGGAGATGGCGTCATGCTCTGGAACAGGGAAGCTGGTCATAGTTGATGGGAAGATCGATGGAGCGAAAGCCAGAGCAGTCTAAGAGGAAAGTATTTTGAAAAACAAATTGACACTGGAGAGGAGCTTCGCCTTCCAGCAGCAACAAACGGTCTGCACATTCATCCTGCTTCCTGGTCTGCAAAAATGAAAATGGCTTTTGTCCCCGAGTCTTGGTTGAGCATGCAAGTATTAAATTAAAAGTGGTCCAATGGCAACACATTTAGCCAATAAACTCACCGTTGTGTTGCTTTTATTTATTCAAGCCTGGTTTAAATATTGTTTCCTCTATTTGTAAAATGGATATGCTTTCTCATTACTATTTTTGGTATTTAGGTTATTTTCTCAAGAGGATCCCAAGGCTCCATGTTTACATATGTGACCATGGCAGCGATCTAATTTAGATTGCTGCCTGTGTGTTAGAAAGGCCTAACCCTAAACCAATGTTCACTGACCGTCTCCATTAAATCTGACTGAGCTAGAACTAGTTTCAAAAGGAGGAATGAATAAAAATCTTGATCTCTAGATGGAACATCATGTTTGTGTAAATATCCTGAAAGAAATGAATTTCCCTCTACTTCACAAATATGCACTAAAATATCTCAGTCTGTCATAAAAATACAATAAAAGTAAGTTTGTTTGCTGTATAAGTGAAAGAGTTACATTAGTATGGATAATCTTACAAAATTCCAAGTGTTAAAAACCACTTCTTTAAGGATGACTTTTTACTTGCATTTCTGGATTTGGTTTTTTGACACATTCAGGCTTCCAGAAATTTGCCTCGTTTCTGAAACTTACAAAATCTTGACTCCAGTTTGCACAGCTTTAACTAGGAAGTTTCTACACTTCCCTTCAGCTCATACCAGACGGCCTTTCTTCTTCTAATATTTAAATAAATATTCATAAACTGCTACATATGCTCTCCAACGGCTTCCCAAAGATATAAAGCTGATTACAACTGCATCTACATACCCTCCGCTCGAGTGCGAAGATCGGACATTGTTCTCTGGACGGGCGGCATCTCTCCGAGCACAGCCGAGCGACGGCACCTGTCAAGCGGCCGAAGCTCGTGGGTTCTGCACCCTGCGGCGGCGGCTGGTGCGGCTGCTGCTCGACCGTCAAGGAATGTCGAAGCCCCGTCTGAAATGCAGCGGAGGAGCCTCTCTCATGCGGACTGCACTTTCTGTGTGCTAACGAGAGAGGCGGGCGAATTGAAAGCAGCTTCCGTTAAATTTCGCCTTAGCTGAAGGGAACATAGTTAAGCAGTCCAGCGGTTCACAAGCCCTCCAGCATCCCGGTGTCACACGGCCAGAATTAAACCGTTATACGCCTTCATTTCCTAAGGAGTGGACGCGGACTTAACCCAAACTGAAGTGAGGAAAGACGGTGCCGCTTCACAATATGGACCGTACCACATTAGCTCACCCGGGTGGGGGGGAATGGAGGAGGTCGAACCAAAATAACGGCCAGTTCTCTACGTCTATTAGTTAAATAATTCAGTTAACCCATGAATATAAAACACACCCAGCGTTTGATTAATCATTGTGGCTCATAAAGTTTGACGTAAAAGTGCTTTTTTTTCTTTAAAAATCTGCCGGTCGGAGTGAAGACCTCCCCCCTCTGCAGTAGATGTTGTTTACAAACTGGGAGTTGGCGCATCACTGATTATTAATTTTGTTGTTTTATTGGGAATAAAGCCGGGAATAACATTGATTGATGGATTTACATGGCATCAGTGGTAAAGACTATAGACAAAGCCTTAAAGTAAATCTGAAGAATAGTGAAAATATTTGTTATTATTATTTTTTTCTCATTGTTTGCACAGTTTTTGTTACCTGTAACAATCTCTCAAAAAAGTTATTTTGATTTAGTGTTTTTATATTTCTTTGATAACCTACTTTTTAACCCTTGTGCGTGAGAGGACTGAGGCAACTGATACAAGTGATATGGGTGTGGACCCCATTTGTAAACACAAGGGTTAAGAGTTAACCAGACTCACTAGTAATCTATGATTTTTGATTGTTTATGTCCTGTATTTAACTTGGACATTGCACATTGGTCAATTTCTTTTTGACAGTAGTCACTAATCTACAAGAGACTCCAGGTTTATCTTCCACGCATAGAGGGCAGTATGTTTGAGGAGCAAATGCAAAACCAAAGTTCACTTATGGAGGACTGCAGCAAAAAATGTCATCTTAAGGTCACCAAGTCTGAATAATATCCATTGTACACTATCGAAATACCAATCAATTGTTTGGGAGTGATGTCGGAATCTAGCTTTTTCTTTTCTGACCGTTCATCAAAGACAAAATCAATCTCCTTCTACAGCCATCTCATTCTCCAGACCTAATTTCTGTAGAAAACCTGTGTGGTGAACTAGAGAAGACAACATAAGACCAACCAGAACCCTGAACAACAAACAAAAAACATAATACCATAGAGTCATAGTTAATTTATGCATTATATAACATTATGGATATCCAAGTTCTTATGAAAATACATACAAATAAAGCATGTGCATTTAGTTATGTCTTAAAATATGTACTCACTTAAACTTCTATGTTAATCTGTGCTTTAGAGCACTCTGGTGATTTGCACTTAGCCCTGTGTTGGTTATCTAATCTCTAATGAAGATAAGTAAGCTATCTAAGTAATCTTGGACTGCATACATTTCTATGAATTCCTATTAATCTTTAATGAATAAAATTGTTGGTTAAGCTTTGTTTCGACTAGGACATCAGGCCTAGTAGTAGTTTGCTGTTTTTTTTTTTCCCATATAAGTGAGTTTAAGATGCTTTAAAGCAAAAATAAAAAAACAATCTACTAACTGGGTTCTGACAAAGCTCTGTGATTAGTATCCTCTCTACTTCACGTTTCCCTTTTTCTAGCAACAAGTATCTATTTCTGGTAACACTTTATTTGAAGGGGGTTGAATAAGACTGTCATGACAGTCTTATTCATGACTGTCATGAATAAGACTGGCTTCATGGCTTCATGAATAAGCCTTATTCATGAAGGCTTATTCATGAATAAGCCTTCATGAATATTTATGACTGTTGTCATAAAGCCTCATTCGGTAAATTATGACACTTTTAATACAAAGTTGACATTATTCAAAATGTCTTTGTTATAACAACTTGACATTAACTAAGAAATAATTACTGTTTAAACTTTACCTTTAATAACATAAAGTTACCTAATTTTTAAAGTGAAATCAGTAATTATTTTATAACAAATTTATATCAGTAATGATTTCTTGGTTAATGTCAAGTTGTCATAACAAAGACATTTTGAATAATGTCAACTTTGTATTAAAAGTGTCATAATTTACCGAATGACGCTTTATGACAACAGTCATAAATATTCATGAAGGCTTATTGATGTTCATAACATGTGTTATGTCATATTTATGATGGTGTCATGACAGTCTTATTCACCCCCCTTCAAATAAAGTGTTACCCTATTTTTTTGACCTTCACCTGCCTGGTGAAGGTCGTTGCTTATACATTAAACATGAATTTTTGGAGAAAATGTTGCTTAGTCAGCCCCTTTTACAGATGATGATGCAAAACCCATAAATAAACCAATTGAACGATCTTTTCCATAGCATAACTCACAAAGTAGTGCATAACTACAGATTCAGACCTGGATACAGACCACAATAGCAGCACTAAGCAGCTAGCAGACACTGGTATCAGTCATTGTGTTATTATGTGATTACTGTCTGGAGACGAGCTCAGCAGAAGATGTAATCCACAGGTGATTTACTCTGGCCCACGGTTTCCTTCATATCCCCTGTCAGTGTGTCACGCTCTTGTCATAAATCGGCTGGATGCTCAGTGGTCTGAAACTAAACACTTAAAAGATCTGCATGCAAAAACAGAGGGAGTGAGAAGCAACCACCCCATCTCTGCTGCCTCTCTGCTGTGCATTGCTTTGCGTACTCATTCACATTGCGGTTAAAATGTTAATCACAGCTCTGACGCCATTTGTGCAGCAGCAGCTCCACTGCTGTTGCTTGAGAGAACTGCAGATACACTACAGATGGATTGTTTTTTTGCTGTTTTGTTTTGTTTTGCATTACAATGCTTATCTTAAGCATTGTAAAACTCTGAATGTTCACCATCTATTTTTGTAAAACATTTAAGATAATCTACTTCCTTTCTTGAAATGCTCCTAGAAATCTTAAAGATTTGCATGAAACAGCCATAAAATCCAAAGCAGCCGTGTTTTCTAACGGAAGGTCAAGCTTCATCCCATCTAAAAATAATCAGCAAACACCAAAAACGTCCATGCTTTCCCATTTGCCTGCTACAGAAACATCTCCTCTGCAGATTTCCTTTCTTTCCCTCCCCTCCACCTAATTCAACATCAGCCCACCACCACAGGGATTTGGCTCTTTAGCTCCCACCGTTGCTAAGAAACAGTGACAGGAAGCCTGCCTTTTCGACTATGTGTGAGTTGCTCTGATTTTCTGTCTTATAGCATTCCCAGCCCAAACAATGACGCATTCAGCCAGCTATCCAGATTCCTACTGCTGCTAGTATCTGTGTCAGCTGTAAACAGCAGGAGTGATTTCATCAGCTTGTTTTACAGCTTCACCGGACCTTTTATGAGTCCGCTTCCTGGAAATTATTTATTTAGGCATTATTGCTGCAAGCAAATTCAAATTCAAACCTATGACCTATTTTGTCTTCTTTTAAGCTGTCAGAAGAAAATAAATCAGCTGTAAATCTTTTGATAAATGCCACATTTAGGTTCGAGATCTTCAGATTTTCTACAGAAGTTTTCAGAAGTTTAAGTGTAGTTTTTTTTTTTCTAATCCTAGCAGTTTCTAAATTATATATCCAGGTTCAAATATGTACACCTCTGTAATGGTTCACTAGAGGGACCCAGAAATTCAGCCACGACACAGGAGTGAGCAGAATACTCAGATATTTATTAAAAAGCAGCTAAAGCCGGACACACAGGATCGTCAGCTGCAGCACTGGCTTGGCGGGCCGGGACCGCGGGGATCGGCTGAGGGACGAGGAGACAGCAGATGCTGTGCTGACGCAGGGCGCCGGAGGAAGCGCCTGGAGAGGGGAAGCGCTGATACTGGGCAGCGCACTACTGGGTGAAACAGCAGAAGGGCCAAATCCGGATCCGAATACTTAGTCAGACGAGCGGGGGTCATGCACAGTGGGACTGAGAGCAGAATCCGTGGGAGTGGGCGAGAGCAGAGTCAGTGAGACAGGCGTGGGTCGAGATCCGAAGGGCAAATAGCAATAGTCCGACAAGGGCAAGGCAAAAGGGGTAGATCCGTGGAACAAAGCGTGGTAGAGACGATGAGAGCGAGACAGGAGTGCTGGAAAACTACTAGCTGAAAGCGTTCGATAATCTGGCGACTTGGTAGTGACTGAGAAGGGCTTAAGAAGGGAAACAATCAGGGAGCAACACAGGTGTGGGGAATAACGGGAATGAGGGGTGTGGCATGGATAAGTTCAAACAAAACACAGAACACCATGTGAACATTACACACCTCCCACAATTATTTGGATATATTTCCATTTTTGTAGCCATTAACGAGACACTTTTCTGAGCAGAGGTCGTCTAAATGTATAAGTCTGGTGGTACATATCCACGTTTTAAAAACATGGTTCACTTTTAAGAAGCTTAATATCGTCCTGCCTCGTCCATCCTTAAATGCGTTTTCATGTGTTTTTTGATCACTGACGGCATGATGCTACCATTACCATGCTTGACACCTTGACTCCAAACATACTAAATGTAGCTGTTGTGATGGTCACTGAACCTTTGAGTATCTGTACTCATTTTTATGTGCTATACTCTTAAAGATGAAAATAAACCGATCAAATCCTAAAACAGACAAGTGGTGGTGAGGTGTAACTTCTCAACAGGTCAAGGAAATGTTTAAGGAGAGTGAAATCCTTCCATCAGTAAATAAATCAGAGTTATGCAGTTGAAAGGAATTTAACTGTCTGAGTCTCTGAGAACTGTCTGAGAATACTTCACCACTCTCTTTTAACCTCCCTTTTAAGTCCCTGCATCAAACGGTGATATAGATTGTCTCCTCCTTCTTTTAGCCTTTCTTTTGTCTCTGTAGTACACCACCTGAGCCACTTTACTGCTGTTCAGAAAGGCAGCATTAGGAGGAGACAGTAGATTAAAAACAACTTTACTGGATCCATACTCAGATAGATTTTCAATCTGCTTTCAGAGAATTATGCACAAGGTTTTCTGTTTCTTCAGTGGCATGAAATAGAACTGAGAGCTTATTTAAAGTAAAAACAAACTTTTTTTTTTCAACCGATCACAAGGACGAAACTCAGCTTCTAAAAATGTACATGACATGTCATCATATCTGTTTTCCCTTTTGCTTCTGAGTGTGTTTTTAAACTGAAA